TTTCTTACCTGAGCACATAAAGAGGCGGTGGACTGACTGGTTAACCAGCCTACCTGCTTTGGAACACTTCTCAGTTGCAAGATGTTTCAAGCCCAAAGATTTTGGAAATGATGTATTTGCACAACTACATCACTTTGCAGACGCAAGTGAGGATGCATATGGCTCAGTCAGCTACCTACTCATGCGTAACACGAGCAATGAGACACAATGTGCATTTATGATGGGCAAGTCCAGAGTGGCGCCTCTCAGGCCTCCTACCATACCCCGTCTGGAATTGACTGCTGCTACAGTAGCCATTAGGATGGATAGTGTCCTGAGAAGAGAGCTACAACTGAACCTTGCAGAATCAGTTTTTTGGACAGACAGTACGGTGGTGCTCCAGTATCTCCGGAATGAGACCACGCGTTTTCGTACATTTGTGGCAAACAGAGTTGCAGCTATTCTGAAAGGCTCTGATGTGGAACAGTGGAAACACATCAGCACAGACAAGAATCCTGCTGACTGCGCCTCAAGAGGGCAAAGAGTAGATGAATTTATGAAGAACAGAACGTGGGTGTCTGGGCCAGATTTTCTTCGCAGTCCGGTAGAGTTTTGGCCTAACACTCCACTGAATTGTTCGGAAATCACTTCTGGTGATCCTGAGATCAAGAGAGCCACAGTTAACAAGATAGAGGTGGAAGAAAATGTTGCTCCATTCAAGAGACTCATAAATTACTTCTCATCATGGACAAAGTTGAAAAGAGCGGTGGCGTGGTTCCTGAAACTTAAAGCCTTACTTTGGAGTCTCTGTCAAAAACGTAAAGAGCTATGCGTAACCAGTGTGGAGAATAGCCTTGACAATGATCGACAGCTGAGACAAAGTCAGATTGACAGTTTCAGGACAAGCTTTAAGCCTACACAAATTTCAGTGGAAGACCTGAATCAAGCAGAGCTCGATATAATCAGATTTTGCCAAAAGGAGAAATTCTCGGAAGAGGTTTCGGCTCTTCACAAGGGACAAAGTGTGAAGCGCAATAGCCACTTATACAAACTGAACCCTGTACTACAGGAAGATCTGTTGAGAGTTGGTGGAAGATTGAGCTGGGCAGCTATGCCGGAAATCGCTAAGCAGCCTATTATCCTGTCTAGAGACTTTCACATTTCTGACTTAGTCCTCCAACAGATACATGAAGAAACTGGGCATGGAGGGCGCAATCACATGCTCTCTGAATTGCGACAGAAGTTTTGGATCCCAAGTGCCAACACAGCCATTAGAAAGATCATCGCAAAGTGTGTGACATGTCGTCGCTTGCATGGGAGAGTTGGGAAACAACTGATGGCTGATCTTCCACAAGAGCGAGTGTTGCCAGATGATCCACCCTTCACCCGGGTTGGTGTAGACTACTTCGGCCCATTCGAAGTAAGACGTGGAAGAACCATCTTAAAAAGATACGGTGTTATATTCACTTGTTTAGCGGTTCGTGCAGTACACATAGAGCTGGCCTCATCATTAGACACAGATTCATGCATAAATGCAATCCGGCGCTTCATAGCACGGAGAGGACAAGTGAAGGAGATTCGCTCAGATAATGGGACGAATTTTGTTGCTGCCAATCGTGAGCTGAAAGAAGCAATCACTGACTGGAACACTTCACCGTTTCAGCATCTATTTCAACAGCATGGAATTAAGTGGACATTTAACCCTCCCACTGCTTCACATCATGGCGGAGCATGGGAGAGGTTGATAAGATCAATACGAAAAGTGTTGAATTCTACTGTGAGAGAACAAGTTCTGGAAGAAGAATGCCTTCATACAGTCTTATGTGAGGCAGAGTCGATCATCAACAGCCGACCAATCACCAGGGCATCAAGCGACCCAAATGATTTGGAGGCTCTGACACCTAATCATCTTTTGTTGTTGAAAACAAAACCTTCATTGCCTCCAGGATTGTTTGACCAGAATGACCTCTACTCACGACGTAGATGGAAACAGGTGCAATATATGTCCAATCTATTTTGGAAGAGATGGACTAAAGAATACCTACCTCAACTTCAGGAACGTCAGCGGTGGGCCACAGCATCAAGAAACTTTGCAGAAGGAGATGTCGTTCTTCTTGTGGACGACTGTGCACCACGAAACTCATGGATTATGGGAAAGATCATCAAAACAGTTCCAGACAAGAAGGGTCTCGTTCGCCGAGTACGGATAAAGACAAAGACTAATGTTTTGGACAGACCCATCACCAAGATTTGTCTGCTTGTGGAATCTGAATGGGCTAGTGGTAAAGACTAAGCCCCTACGATGAGCCATGTGCTAGCAACCTCTGGCTCTTTCCTTCTTTCTCTCTTTCCTTCTTTTCTTTCTTATTCTTTTTCATCTGTTCTTTTGGAAATGGACAGAATCCAGCCCTAATATACTTTGCAAAGTTGATTGGCAAAGTATTGGACAATTCATTTGTCCATAAATAATATTTTGTCATGTGTTTAAACATTGGATATGTCTAAACGTGGTTCATATTAAGTTTGTAAAGTTAAAAAATGTGGTAATTGTTCTAAGGCAATACATTATTAGAACAATTAGGGGCCGGTAATGTAAGCGCCAGACGTCTGCTTTATATTTTTATTTACGATTGAGTTCATGTTTGTTTTATAATTCATAGATTCATTACATAAGTCATCTTTTCAGGATTAATAAATGTGAAAATATATGTGTTTACATAAAGTAATTTTAAATCACTGTTTTGGGATTGGAACCTAAAAGGGGGTACCTCTCACTTTAAGTATGTAAGTGCAATAGTAGCATAAAACCCTGGGTGAGAGGGAAGGGGAGGAGCATGGACAGAGAGGTTAGGAGTCTCACGGTTTTCTGACCGTGTGCACAGGTAGTTCTGGATAACTGCTATTTTTTGGAACTTTCATGTTTTTTAAGGAAGGAGTTCATTGTTACATCTTCAGTTTGTAATAAATAAACAGTCTTCAAATCATAATGCAACTGGAAGCATTTCTTTTGGAAACCAGGAACACGCGTCAGCCATAGACTCTTCTTTTTTGAACTTGGTTTATTGGAAATTACCCTACATTTATGTTTACCCTTAGTCAGCAGTTTGAAATTTCTCAAAGCTCCCTGCTGGGGCCCCTGGACTCTGGTTGCTGGTGTCTCTAGCGTCACATGTTTCAGACTCAACTGAATCAACTTCAGCTTTGGTTTTCATTACATATATTTTATTAATAACTAAACTTCATTTCCATCCATTTAATATAATAGCTAGTCTGTGAGCTAACAGGAAAGGGAAATGGATTTGAAAATGAGTGGAACTGCCATGTTAAATAAATCTTTATTTCTCTTTTTAAATTGAATTAAAAAAAATCTGTTTGCTAATTTGGGATTTAAAAATT